GCTATCTGCTCTTGCTTTGACTACTTGGACTTCAGTGTGATTTTGCAATCTGGATTTCTGTGCTTCGTCCATTTATGTTCCTTGCATTTTGGTATCAGAGCTGGTTCGATTCGCCACTTACCTTGGTGCGCTGGCGTTATACAGACTTGGTGCGTTGACGATGCTTCTTCGCAGTTGGTTCTTGTGACGTCAGGCCATATTAGGTGCACAGCCTGGGTAGAGAGGTGTGCGCCGGAAGGCTGCATTGATTGCCGTGGTGACAGGCGGAATGTATGATTGGTGATGAGAGCATGCTGATGTGGCATTCGGCTGAGGCGGCACTGCATTGCGTTGTGGGTGGTACCGAGGCCAAGACCGGTCATCAAATGCACACTCAGCTCAATTGGTGAGAAATCTGTGGTTGGGGGCAGCTATCTCCAGGTACGTTGTTCCCTTACCTTATCTACTCTCTCAATCTCTTCTTACCGCGAGGAAGCGAGTCCAACTTGAGAGTCCTCTCTTTTGGTGAGGTTTCGTGAGCACGCTACCTTGAGAGACGACAATCTTCCCGGAAGCATCTGGAAGGAGAAAGGGAGGTGCCTCTGAAGGGCCCTGGTCGAAGCACTAGGTCACGGTCACCATGCCAACCCAATGGGAGTAGGTCACGCATGCGATGGCTGCTGTCCATTTTGGCACTTTGCTGCGCTATAGAAGTCCCGCCGGGTGTGCCAGCCTTTTATGAGACGCTTACCAGACCGTCTATAAACATTTCTGGTTGGGGACTCGGATTGATTCTAGCTGTGATCGTCGTCCTGACTGCGACGTTAAATAATTCCTGAGGAGATGGAGGCTCTCCTAAAATTCCTCCTCATCAGCCAGATCAACCGGGTAGGAAGGCTCGTTCCGTACGAGGGTAAATAAGAGTGGACTGGCTGGCTTGCTCGGCAACGACTTGGGCACAGGGGTGGGCCGACAACACACACGAAGACACCGCTGCTCATTGATGCTATTCGGTATGTTGGATTGAGGGGAGGGTAGGTTCTAATTGATGCTCAACTGGAAACACAACCATACCCACTGTTCATACATCCGCAACATAGTTTTGTTTTTATTATTGATTAGTTGGTTGACAGCTGCTAAAGCCTCACAGACAGATTAGAGTAGGACTCTTGTATACTACCATAGCCAGTTCTATCTAATGCTGCTGTAAGTGAACTAATCACAGTAGAGCTAAACTATGTTGACAATCTGTTTTGAATGTTGTAGGCTGCCACTTGATCGGTAAAGTAGGGGACCTGCCGGACACATTTATTTTTAGAAAATTAGGTGCCGGCCAGACACATGCTGTGGTAGGACTCCAGCAGGGGGTTGTAGTGCAGATAATGTCTGCTTAACTGATGAACGGGTCAGACACCGATGAGGGTGGAGTTGACGATGCAAGACTGACACATTCGAGATCGCGTAGGATCCCGCACGTGTTTCAGGCCTTACAACCTGAAGCCGAAGGACGGCTTCGTGCCGAACGAAGAGCCCGTGCTCTTGCAGCAGCGTTGGCAGCAGCAAACGAAGCAGCTAGAGAGCAAGCAACAGCAGCCAGAGCAGCAGCAATGGCAAATGGCGCAGGCTCTGCTGCATCCTCATCTGCGTCCTCGTCTGGGACCAATGGGACCCAGTTGGGAATGCCTCAGGGCACTTCCGGTTCAATGAGTTCTGGTCAGTCTATCAGTCAAATGGCGGGCTCGCAGTTTAGCCCGTTGACCCCACGCGGTAGGGAGCTCCTAGAGCTCCAACAGGTCGAAAGGATCCGTGAACGGTTAGAGAGGGAACTGAAACAAGCTACCAACAAAGAAAGAGAGATTAAAAATAGAGCAGCCAGGCTTGATACGTTAGAGGCAGACAAGGGTGCGTTAGAGGGTTTGGATGAGTCAGCAATGTCTGACCAACTGAAAGTACTGAAGAACAATATGCTGTCGTTGCATGCGCACGTGGACAGCAGATTGGACTTTATGCAGAACTCTCTAGACCAAATCTTGGACCTTTTGCAAAGGCTCGGATTTAGGCCAGCAGCACAGTCGTCGTTGCCGTTAACGACGATGTCAGGCCCCTTTCCAGTACAAGCCGTTGCCGTTAACGGCGATGTCAGGCCCCTTTCCAGTACAAGCTGGCACACAGCCAAGTGGTACGTCTGCAGCAGTCTCACAGACTGTTGCTTCTTCTTCTTCTGGGTCAACGATGGTAGCTACACCACCGCAACAACCAAGGTGAATGGTATCCAAAGACCCCTATGAAACCACCTCTTGCCTTCTTAGGAGAGAAGAAGGACGAGGAACTCAACACATGGTTGAGAACGGTTCCGGTATGGGTAAAGGCAAAGAGGACTTCGCAGGAGGAGGAGGTGATAACTGCTGCATCTTACCATGAGGGTAAGGCAGCCAAATGGCTGGATGGTTTAGTTTCAAAGGTCGGGTACGGATGACGCATGGCGGACTGGGCTAAGACCATTACGTTAGACCAGTTCCTAGAAATGGTAGAAGCTCGTTGGCACAATCCACAATAGGCACAAATTGCCAGTGATGCGATAAACAAACTAGACCAAAGAAAGTTCAAGTCAGTCAGGGAGCTTACGACTACCGTAGAAAGCCTCATCGTTGTTCCTGGCATAAACTACGATGACCAGTTCTTGTTGACCACATATGTGAGATGTCTCCCAGAGAATCTCAGGAATTTGCTGGCCAGCGAGGCTCGCCTTGAGTATCACTCATTTGAGACTTTATCTAGGAAAGCCTTGGACTTAGAGGCCACCCTAGGAAGTGCTCAACCTTCTCAGAATGACACGAGGAAAAAGAAGAGTCCACAGGAATGGAAGAAGAAGGGGGCTAAATTGATGATGGTTGAGTCCGATGGGACTCAAACAGATATCGACGAGCTCACCGACCTGTTGGACGTTTCAGAGTACGACGGCGAGGAGATCGCAGAGGGTAGCACCCTCGCCGCAGTAGTAAAGGCAAAGGCTGGTGGCCGAGTGAAGGGCCATCAAAAGAGTCAAGGGAAGGCCGCCTCCAATCAGACCAAAGTTGCTGATTGGGTCAAGGCAGGTCTTGATCAAGAAGTGTGGCGGGACCGCCGAGTGCGTGGTGCTTGTATTAACTGTGGTGAATACGGACACACCCAATACACACCCAATACAAGTGCTAGAACGCAAAGGTCACGCAGAAGATACCTCCTAAGATGGGGGCATCTTCTTCCCAGGCTTCTAGCTCGGGAAACACTTGAGGCCGGTGGAAGTTTTAGTTGCTTCTACTCATGGTGAAGTGGGCCAGATACCCTCCCCACTTCATGAGATGGCCATAGCTAATGACTCTTTAGTCACCCCGCAGACTCGTCCAGACCAAACTATGCTCTGTATGTTGG